AGGTTATATTAATGAATTTAAGTTTTTATTCTCGTTGTTTACTTTTTTTTACATTCATTTGTTGTGTTCGAATAAGTTTATTTTTTGTGTTTGTGTTATTCGTTTATGTTCGTTTATCATTTAAATGAACGAGCATGAACGAACTATATTCCTTAATGAACAAACATAAAAAAAAAAAAATTGTTCGTTTATATTCGTGTTCGTTTATGTTCGTTTATTTATTAAATGAATGAATATGAACATACATCCATTTTTATGCGTTCGGTTCGTTTACAGGTCTACGCATAACATAGAATAAAATGTGGTCATCACGTCTTATTTAATCAGAAAAAAAAAGTGATAATATATTATGGGTTATAAAATTAGTAAAAAAAATAAAACATAAACATAAGTCATTAATCATGTAATTAACCCAAAATTATATCTTTTATTATTTTAAGTCTTAAACGTTATTTTTATTAGCAAATTATTTAATCAATATGATAATATGCCATGTCCTGTAATTTTACGAACATTTTGATATAAACTTAATAAATAAATAAATAAATTTTATTTAAAATAATATAAAAAATTTAAAGTTTAGTTATCTGATATGATCGCAAATAGTTATAATTTTTTTGGTAAATAAATAGTTATCATTTTTATCACTAATATAAATATGCATTATTCAAAATTTAAATATTAATTTTTGTAAATGAAGATACAAAAGTAAATAATCTTTCGAAATTAAATAACTTTTCAAATACCGTTAAAAAATAACTTTTCAAATACAAAGACAAAAAATTTATAAAAAAAAAGTATAAAAATGAAGATGGACTAATAAATTTTTTATAAGATGAAGTCATATGGGGAAAAACAAATAATTTTGGGAATAAATTAGTAGGGTTTTTTTTTATTAAATTAAGATGATTATATAGTAGAATACTCTCAACTATTTAATAATGAGCGTCCAATCACCTTATTACAGTCGTTGGTGTTCGAACCCGTGACTTCTAAAAATAATAATTATTATTTTAACCACTGAGGTAAATTGGTTCATGGATAAATTAATATGTTTTTAATTTAACTAGAATGCATGTGTAGCACACCAAACATCAAATAAAATGAGCTAAATAGAAAGTTTAATAAAATTAACATGTTAACAAAGATGGTCTTAAAATTTAATTAAAAAAGTTAAGTTTAACACTCCAATCAAATATATATAATGATTATAAATTAAATATACTTTTTAATCAATTAAACGATTTGGTGCTTTGAAGGTTTTTTCTGTTAAAAAAAAAAGCTAGAGTGACATTTTTTGTGACATTTTTTTTGGGCTTTGGGTAACCTCTCAAATGAACAAACAATGATTCAAATGTCACCATGTTACCACTCCACATTTTTTACAATTTAAAATATTAATTTATTTGATTTTGGGTTTTTCCCTTTTTTGGTGTTTTTTTTACCCTAATACCACAAGCAGGTCAATTATTTAGAATATTCAGTCTTCTCAGCTTTTATTTTAGAAAATACAACATTTATTATAGTGCACTAATACTCGTTATCTCGAGGTTACGAATTTCCTCGGATATTATTTTTAAATAGTTCTTGAGTAGTAAGCCCTACATGGGTCATTATTTTATTGTTATTAATATGACTCGTCACCTAAGGTCACAAGTCTATTTAAAAATTAATTTTTTATAAAAAAAATTAAAATTAAAATTTAAAATTTAAAATTTAAAATTTAAAGAAAAATAGATGGAAATTGTCACCTCGAGGTGTACTTAACACACTCTGTGATTCACATTCGAAATACAGTGATGAATTTATGACATTTGATATTATCATTGGTGTAATGCGGTGACGTGAGGGGAGCGATAGTTCACGCTAATTCCATAGGTCGATGTAGTAAGCGTGTTTCATCAACCAATTTTCGTTATGTTTCCCACATGTATCGATTGTATGGAGCGTGTTCATATCATCCATTTGCGTAGGAATCGGTTGGTGCGACGAAAACTGTCGCATCACTCTATCAAAAGACATACCACTCAAGAATCGCATAATACAATAACGGCGTCACGACACACCATAAGTGAGACCCTTCAAAAAATCGCTTTGGCAATAACTGTTTGATCTCCTCGTCAACATACAGAAGTCAAGAAAACTGTAAATATTAAATATCAAAGTTAGTATATATAAAGTTAAAAATTAAAAAAAAAATTATATGTCATACCGCATATGGACCGGCGATATCGGTTCTCGTCCGTATATCTTGTGTAGTGGCACCCGCCAAATTCATCTTACATATTTTATGACGCCATCTAAAATATTTAAAAATAAAAAATAATTATAAACAAATAAAAAATAATTAAATTTATTAAATGAAAAAAAGTCAAATAAATGAAGTTAAACAATTACATTGCAGCCAGCGAAAACTCGATAGGGACTAATGTAATTGACATAAAAAACGGGAATCAATACCAAGCCCACGACTGTAGCAGTATCAAATCGTTGAGCCTCAGTTGGTATTACGACACACAAAGAAGTCTCATAAATATTGTAGATATGAGTGTGCGCCAAATTACGGGATTTATCCGACAATAATACTCCTATAATCACCTGGAGAAGAAATGCTCGGGATGCGAAAATAACCTCCGCCTTGGTAGGCTCGGTATGTTATCCGTACCCGATGGTCGTCGATGACGTCAGATGGTGGCCATTTTCCCAAAACTTCATAGACCAATATCTCGGGGTCGTAAATGTTTTGGTTCACCATGGGGGCTCCATTCACAGGAACACCGAGTTAGTAAGCAATGTCTTCCAAAGTAATTGTCGTTTCACCATTCGAAAAATGGAATGTGTGCTTCTCGGGCCGCCAATGTTCGATCAGAGCCTCAATCAACGTCAGGTACAACTTGAAGCCAAGTACAAATATGGTCGGATATAGACCGAATTGTTGCAGATATATCAACATCCGTTGATGCAACTCTTTGTATGTTATCCTCCGCTTAAGAATATTTCATTCATCGTCCGACCAGCGTTGGATCGACAAAACATGAACGTTATCCAGGCACATATATTCTTGGGTTGCCATTTTTCTATATTTTCACACAACATATGATTTTTTTTCAATTTTTTCAGATTCAAGGTTTGGTGAAAAAACAAAAACCCAAACCCCTATTTATAGCCCTACCCTCCATGGCTATAAACGGCTAGAAATTTCAAATTTCCGGCCAAGTGACCATTAATGATCGTTACCTGTCTGTCCATTGACCAACTACTACAAAACAACTAATTTTTTTATTTAATTTAAAGGAACTCGGTGAAGAGTTCCATCTACTTTGTTTTTTGAAATTTATAAATTTTATTTTTATTTTGTAATTTTAAAAAAATTATTTTTAAATAGATTTATCACCTCGATATGACGAGTCTTATTAATGATAATAAAATAATAGCTCACATGGCACATTACTCAACTTTGAGGTTTTCCATCGTTCTTCCCTAATAAATGATTGCATGTTTTACTTTCATAACAGCATGATACGACATTCATATATATATACCCATTACTCATAATTATTAGGCATGGCAACTTGGCAATATGTGTATGAATGAAAACCTCTAATTCTATAGATAAACTAAGCTGTTCTGATATCATAAACGATAAACACTAAACTTATCACCTCGACGTGGCAAGTCCCTAGTATATTGTAGTATATACCGTATTTTTTTAAATAAAAGCTAAGGAGACCCAATGCCTTAAATAATTGATTCGATTAAGGTATTGGAAAAAAAAACACTTTTTTTGGTTCTTGAAACATTGTCCACTTTTAATATAATGGGCTTGGTTTTAAATTGGGCCAATCCCTTGTAAATTTATTTCATAAGGATTGCATTATGGAGCAGTGGAAAAGAAGTTGTTAACCTGCTAAATATTTTCCTTCTTGATGACTTTGAATCTAAATAAAATTACATTTTAAGCTATGTTATTCGTATCCAGATAATTGCATTTTGAGCTATGTTACTTGCTTTTTAAACTCGCACCGAGTCTAAGAAGTATAGACCATGTTGTTAGATAATATGATTAATCCGAGACATAAAATAATAATAATAATAAATAAATATTATTATATAAATCGAACGAAGCAAAATAAATAAAGAATTGAAATAGAGAAATAGAATTGTTTACTCATATTTTGACTTGAAATCAGATGAATAAAGTCAAATAAATAGAAGAGAAAGTTTTGTTGAGATTTGTATGAATAATTTTCTTAAGATAAATTCATCATCTCCTCAGTGCTTTGAGTAACCTTGAACATCGGTCTCCCAAGATATAACAACAAACGATCACAATATGAAGTACAACTGTAGTGATCAGGTAAATACAATCTTGTGTTTCTCTATCATCGGACAGAACAAATCTGAAAGAAATTTCTAAGTGATTTCCTATTTGAGTTGTGAGATGTCTAGGATTTGTGCCTTAACTAACCTATATACATATGAGATGAAATTAATCAAAAGGTTATAACCTTTTGACGAAGAAATTTATTGAAAATCTAATAGTTATAATTAAATAGATACAAATTTAAACTAAAAAAATAAGTCTACTCATCAAGTAACATGACTTATTATATTTGACATCGATTTTATTCAATTATTTACTATTTTTCCAACGCCGATCACTAAGCTGTCGTCAAAATTCCACCAACTTTGTAGGAACTCCTTACACCCAGCAGTCGTACAAAGTGAGTGATTCTTTTCCTTTCAAGTGGATAAACAAGAAGTGGAAAGAAGGCTTCCATGTAACATCAACAAGTGAATCTTTTCCTTTGTAGAAACGCAGGATTCTCTGATCAGCTATTCCTTTCTTTTGTTCTTTTACATACATCTTCAGTTCTCCACTGCCCTCCATTTCCAAAGTTACCTGATTATACTTCTAATACTTATTTCAATGATCCAAGGTTGTGAAGCTTAACTTTCTATATCCAAGCGAAGGACTACATCGAGCGGCTATAGAATAACATCTATGGCTGCAACCGGAGATCAAGCTGCCTTCATTCTTAGCATTCCAAAACGAATAAAATGACAGATGAAACTCTTCGTACATCTGCCTTTCCGAGCACCCATGTAAAGGTTGGTATATCCTGAGTTTTGCCCTTTAGCTATCCTTTTCAACACGAGTGACGTAAGTTGCCTCGACTCGTCCATGTCCAACTTATCTGGACATATATTCAGACATGGTATGGAGGTATAGTTCTCTGAATATATGGAAAATTTTAGCTTTGCTCTTGTCTGGCACATATGCTCGCCTCCTGAGTTCGAGTAACATAGGTGGTTAGCAATTAACTTCTTTAAACCTTAACTATGGATATCAAGTGTTTAATGTCTGTTCTCTTTTACTATGTTGAACCATCATTCTTATTATGTGATGATTGTTTATTGTTGCAGGAAAAGTGGGCTAAAAATCTGTACATTGCAGCAATTTGTTATGGAAAAGACTGCTAATTCTGGACTGTAAAATTATTAGATGCTCTTTGAAGGAAAAAAATACAATTTGAAGTTTGAAACTTGAAAGCTTTGCTGTATTCTTGGTAATGAGTATAGTGGAGTTAATTCTGCTATAAGATCTCAAAAGAATCTAACTATTAAATCTGTGTTCAATTGATGAGAGATACATGTAAAATTAGTCAGGCTTAGTGTACTGGAGCAGCATATGTGGAGATCGATAGATGCTGACAAGTGTCCAGTAAAGAACATCTTCAACCTCAAGCTCACCCTCTGCTCTTGCTGCATATATGTCCTCACATATTGCAAGCAACCTGTATCAACATAAAGTATTCAGTTATATGTAACTTAAACAGGAGCAGAAATATCAAATTTAGATAAATATGATAAAGCATCCCCTGGGATTTCAAGGAGACTTTTTTCCTCTAAGGAGAGAACATGTTCCATCTCCGAGCTTTATACCATAGCCGATTAACGGTTATTCACCCAAATTAGAAGAGATAAACCACAAATCGTCGGTTTAATCATTTCTTTTCCTACTATTCAAGCCATCGTAAATCACTGTACATAAACAAATATGCGTCGAATAGAAACAACATCGATTTAGTGTAACATTGGTTTGAAATTGAATAAAAATATATATGCATGAACATACATGCATGTCTAGAATAAAAGGGCATCAATCCAAATATGTGTTTGCATACATGCGTTCATACATACTTGTTCGTTATGTATCAGATGTAAGTACTTAAAAAATAAACGAAGAGTCGGGACAACATAGATTCAATAAGACATCAATCTTAAATACATGGGCATACATACCTGTCACAAGAAGGAAGGTTCTCAAATTGTATTCTCATTCTGAGATCAGAACACTGGAGTCTGATGAAACGGCCAACAGCCAGCACAAAAGTAATGTAAAGACCCCAAATGCTGAATTTGCTCAGTGTATCCCCAAGAATGCCCTCTGATCAAACATACCAATCTAATCCAATCACACACTAATATATATATAAATGAAACGAAAGAGAAGTTAATCCAAATAAAAATGGTTGAACACCTATTGTTGAAAATCTTAGAATTAAAGGACTGAATCTTCTTCCTTATTTTTAGGAGTTGACTTAGTGTAAATATGTTTCTAATTGTAGTTCCTAATTCTTAGGGATTATTTCCTATTTTTTGCACTAATTCTTACTTTAAAAGATGTAATCTGCTGTTAGAGAAAGATCAGAATCATTTTTCTCAAATCTGTTCATGGTGTCAGAGCTGTAGGGATATTTCTGATCCATTCTACTTCTTTATTTTTCTCCCGTGTCTTGTTTTTATATCATGGCAAACACTGAAAATATTTCTGATTCTGAGACTTCACAAGTAACTCAGAATGTCAACCAAGCACTATCTCATAGTGATGTTAATTCGTCCCTCACAATCACTAATCACCGATTAGACGGGAAGAATTTTTTACAGTGGTCCCAATCGGTACTCATGGTGATTCGAGGTCGTGGGAAACTAGGATATATCAGTGGAGAAATTCCACGTCCTCACCTTACTGATCCTACATATGCTACGTGGGAACTCAATAATTCTATTGTCATTGCCTGGCTGATCAACTCCATGGAGAGTCACATAAGCCGAACCTACCTCTTGTTCAAGACTGCAAAAGAAATGTGGGATGCAGTCAAGGAGAACTATTCTGATCTAGGAAATGCTTCTCAAGTTTTTGAAATCAAGCTAAAATTAAAAGACATTCAGCAAGGAACTCTTGAAGTTACACAGTACTACAACAACTTAAAAGTCTTATGGCAGGAACTCGATATGTACTATGAAGTGGACTGGGGTGAAGGCTTGGAGCACACCAAGTTCATGTCACATCTCAATAAAGAACGACTCTATGAGTTCCTAGCAGGGCTGAACCGAGACTTGGACGAAGTTCGTGGCCGTATTCTGGGTAGGACCCCTCTTCCAACCATTGGAGAAGCATTTGCAGAGGTTCGGAGAGAAGAAAATCGTCACCAAGTAATGATGGAAGATTCCAAGAAACCAAAACCTGTGACCAATTATGGTCATAGTCCTACTGAATCATCTGCCATGGTCTCAAGGGGCCCTCAATCTCAAAAAATTCGAGCAGGGAATGATTCAAAACTAAGTCGCTCAAGAGATTGCCTGTGGTGTAGCTATTGTAACCGTACCGGCCACACAAAGGAAAAATGTTTCAAGCTCCACGATTATCCCGGTACAACAAAAATTCAGAAGGAAAACAAGGCTCTTTTATCCTTGGGCAGCTCATCCACTGCGACCTCTGTACCTACCGAAGCCGTTCAGGATGTTCGCCTAACAAAGTCCCAACTTGAAACTCTTCACAAGTTACTCGGTGCACCAATAAGCCGTGGTTCCTTGGCTATTCAAGGTATTGCTTTTAACATTACTTCTGAATCTAGTAACCATCCATCCTGCATTCTAGATTCGGGAGCATCCGATCACATGACAGGTAATTTATCATTATTCCATACGTATGCCCCCTGCCACTTCCAATCTCGAATTCGGATAGCTGATGGTTCATACTCATCTATTGCTGGAATTGGGGCTGTTCGACTCACTAAGGACTTCTCACTCGAGAAAGTTCTTCATGTCCCGAATTTATCTTGTAATTTACTGTCAGTAAGTAAACTTACTGAAGACAAGGCTTTTTGTGCTGAATTTTCTGCTGATGGTTGTATTATACAAGAATAGAAATCGGGGAGGATGATTGACACTGCTAAGGTTGATGATGGACTCTATATTTGGGATGACTACAAGGACAAGAATAAAAAAGGAGTATTTGCTCTCTCTACTTCAAACGATGACACTATCATGATGTGGCATCGTAGGTTAGGACATCCAAATTTCCTGTATTTGAAGCATTTGCTCCCTATGTTATTTCAGAATAAAAAAATCAATTCCCTGAAATGTGAAATCTGTCAATTGTCAAAACATACTCGTGTTCCTTATCCATTGAAGCCTTATATACAATCCAAACCTTTCTCTTTGATTCATAGTGACCTATGGGGGCCAAGTCGTGTTAAAAACATCACGGGGGCTAGATGGTTCATAACATTTATTGATGACCATACTAGAGTATGTTGGGTTTATATTCTAAAAGAAAAAACAGAAACTCCAAAGGTATTCCAGAATTTCCACTCCATGATCCAAACCCAATTTGACTCAAACATACACACGCTCCGCACTGATAATAGAAGGGAGTATTTCAATTATGTTTTAAGCCCTTATCTCTCTGAACAAGGCATTATTCATCAAAGCTCTTGTCCAGACACACCTCAACAAAACTGGATCTCAGAAAGAAAAAATATATATATACTAGCTATTGCTCGAGCCTTAATGTTTACCATGAAAGTTCCAAAATACCTATGGGGGGAGGCTGTCCTTACTGCATGTTATTTAATAAACCGTATGCCCTCTAGAGTTCTTAATCTCCAAAATCCTTTACATGTCCTACAAAAAAACTTTCCCCTGTTTCGTGTTCCTATCCTACCAGCCAAGATATTTGGTTGTAAAGCCTTTGTACATAATCACCAACCTAATCAATCCAAACTTGATCCCCGACACCTATGCGTCTTTATTGGCTACTCATTCACACAAAAAGGATACAAATGTTACTCACCCACCTTGCATCGCATATTTGTCTCTCGTGATGTCACATTTTTTGAAACTGACCCATATTTTTCTGCCACTCATCTTCAGGGGGAGACTCTTAGTGAAGATGAGACTCTTCATACTCTTCTTATTATACCCCCTAAGCCTATCCTTAACACCACTGTCACACAAAATTCTAAGGGTGACCCTGTCCTCATAACACCAGATTTGAGTATTCCACTGGAGAGAAATGAATTTTCCAGCGATGAAATCCCCATTGGAAGTAAGCTTCAACAACCTAATCCTTTTGAGAAACCCCAGCTACGGCCTCCATAAATCATTGTTTATTCTCGAAAACATTTTCCTCCTAAAAACGACACAGCAGCAGTGCCAAATTCATCCAACTCCGAGGACTGTCCTGTTTCAGATCAGTCTCCTGGTTCGTCGGATATGGATCTTCCTATCTCTGTTCGTAAAGGCACAAGAGCTTGTACTCAGCATCCAATCTCTCGGTTTGTATGCTATGGAAATTTATCAAAAGCTTACAAAACTTTTGTAACTAATATTGACAGTGTAAAGACTCCAAGAAATGTGAAAGAGGCTTTGGAATCAACCGAATGGAGACATGCTGTTTTTGAAGAAATGAATGCTCTCAAAAATAATGGGACATGGGAAGTTACAGATATGCCAGAAGGGAAGAAAACCGTGGGTTGTAAATGGATTTTCACCACAAAAATAAGCCTGATGGGAGTTTTGATCGGTACAAGGCCCGGCTTGTGGCAAGAGGCTTTACTCAAACCTATGGTCTCGACTATGATGAGACGTTTGCCCCCGTTGCAAAGCTGAATACTGTTCGAGTGCTACTTTCCTTAGCTGTCAACCTTGATTGGCCCTTAACACAACTTGATGTAAAAAATGCATTCCTCAATGGAGACTTGAGCGAGGAAGTACACATGGACTTTCCACCAGGCTTTGAAGAAGAAAAAGGGCGAGTATGTAGATTAAAGAAGTCACTATACGGACTAAAACAATCCCCAAGAGTTTGGTTCAACCGGTTTGCCAAGTCTATGACCAGCAAGAATTACACCTAGGGGCAAACAGATCATACACTATTTTACAAACACTCGGGAAATGGGAAATACTCTATTCTTATCGTCTATGTTGATGATATTATTCTAACAGGGTATGATTCGAGTGAGCTGTTGAAACTAAAAGACTTCCTCAACACAGAATTTGAGCTTAAAGATTTGGGGAATCTCAAATACTTCCTTGGCATGGAAGTAGCACGGACTCGGACAAGCATTTCTATTTCCCAACAAAAGTATGTTCTTGATTTATTGTCTGAAACTGGCATGCTAGGTTGTAAATCGGTCGAGACCCCAATGGAGTTCAATTCTAAGCTAGACAATGATGATGATGGGGAAGAAGTAGACAGAGGGAGATACCAGCGACTCGTGGGAAAACTAATTTATCTATCTCACACCCGACCTGATATTGCATTCGGTGTGAGTGTCATCAGTTAGTATATGCATGCTCCAAAGGAAAAACATTTGGAGGCGGTTTATAGGATGCTAAGGTATTTGAAAGGAACACCGGGTAAAGGTCTTCATTTCAAGAAAAACACCAGTCGTGACATATAACTTTACACTGATGCTGATTGGGCAGAATCAGTGAGTGACAGACGATCTAGAAGTGGTTATTGTAGCTATGTGTAGGGTAATCTTGTGACATGGAGAAGTAAAAAACAGTCCGTTGTGGCTCGTAGTAGTGCAGAGGTAGAATATCAAGCTTTATCTCATGGTATATGTGAAGGAATTTGGTTACAAAGATTAATGAAGGAACTTAAGGTATCCTATGTTAAACCTATGAAGGTATATTGTGATAATCAAGCTGCTGTCAGTATAGCATATAACCCAGTTCATCACGATCGTACTAAACATGTGGAGATAGATCGTCATTTCATCAGAGAGAAGGTAAATTCAGGAGAAGTTTGTATAACCTATCTTCCTACTAAGCAACAAGTTGCAGACTTGCTAACTAAAAGTTTGAGTAAGAATGTGTTTGAAGATTTTATTGGCAAGCTGGGATTGATAAATATCTACACACCAGCTTGAGGGGGAGTGTTGGAAATCCTAGAATTAAGGGACTGAATCTTCTTCTTTATTTTTAGGAGTTGACTTAGTGTAAATATGTCTCTAATTGTACTTCCTAATATTTAGGGATTCTTTCCTATTTTTTGCACTAATTCTTACTTTAAAAGATGTAATCTGCTGTTAGAGAAAGATCAGAATCATTTTTCTCAAATCTGTTCACCTATCATAGGTATTTTGCATATAGACCTTAATAGAACTTACGTGGTGTTTCCTCGGATACAATAATGGCCATTGGTCCAGCAAAGTCACAGCATCCGGTTCCACTTGATACATCAATGTCCTTAAAAGACCACCATTCTGGATTTCCATGATTGAGAATAAGATCCCCACTAACCTTATCAACCTGTAAAAAAACTATCATGTTTACTGTTACCTCAACAGATAACTGATGATGAATCTAAATGATCAGAACCGGGTGGATTTATATGTGTAACGACATACCGACTGTTCGAGAAACCGCAAATCACCAGAACCGGTAACCCGGAAATATTTTGGATAGATGTTAAAGATCCTGAAACTATTGGCAGTTCCATTAAGAACTTGCATTACTTCTGCAGGTGTAGGAAGATCATCATCTTCAACAAGTAACTGATGTTTCACAACTTCCTTCCCTTTCGGTCTATTTCTCATAAATTGCCAAGAGAAAATAATTCCCATGCTCCGGTGAAGAGATTCAATAAATCGGGATTGGACGACCGGAGGAACAAGCCATACTTTGCTTGCATCAGCTTGGCAACATATCAGTTGAATGTCTACTTCGTTGTAATTGTCTAAGTAGCCTTGCGGATCGAGATCGAGATGTTTGTGCTTTACTTTGTTCCATGAGATCCTTTCACACAAAGTGGTCTCAAACAATGTAAGCTTTCCGCTACTCGTCTCAATATCGACCTGAACACTGGCTTCCCTGATGGGGTTTGCAATGTTTGTTGGGTTACCACTGCTGTACATCTGTGTGGAAATAAAACCCAAGCATTCCCCAAACTGTATAGATGAGTGGTTGATGCTATGGAATTCTTCCAAAAAAATGGAATTTAAATTATTGTAACATAAAAAATTAGAATGTATAGTTTCAGATTCATACCAGCATCGGGGCCCATATGACACAAATCAGTATGAAGAACAAGCAAATGCCACTGCAAAACTTAGTCAGTTTTGTCTGTTTTTTTCCCTGTTGGTGTTTAGCTCTATTTAGATCCACATCGCATTTGACAAGAAACAAGCTTCCATAGATATCTTCCAACTGGATAGAAAGCTTAACATTAGAATGATTGAGCATGCGAGTTTCTTCAAGGAACTAAGAAAATATTTCAGGGTTTTACATGAACAATACATAAGCAGTTTATATATGATTGACTTACCTTCAACCAATCATACATGGTTAAAGATGTAGTTGTGCAAGACCAATCAAGTACACAACGGAGTTCATAAAGGAATGGGAGAGCACGATAAATTCGGAAACCCAAGTAATTTGTTTGAGAAATGCTACTTGTTAGGAATTGCCTATACAGACTGCTTTCATGTGGAATCCCGAATCGGATTTGTATGGCCTGCAGAGCCAGAGAGATCAGCTTCGTGAGGTAGATAGCACGAAGTGCAAACTTCCCGGCATGTCTATCCAAAGGCACCATTTGCCAAGCGTAGTTCGTGACGGAGTACGTGAAGAGGAAAAGTGTGAAAAGATAGAATATAACTTTGGCAGTTGCAAATGAACAAAGGTAAATGATACGATCCAGCACTATCAAGAAAAAGATAACCTGCAACAAGAGTCCAATTTTAATTCATTTCAGAGATTTAACCATTTAAACCGTGAACATAACATCAATGGCAAATAAATAACTTTTGACATCGAAAATTTTGTTACGATAAGAAGCTTGTTTATATAATTGATCGAACTGAGTCATACAAGCACTGGAAAAAACGATTTCATTTTAAGCAACGCTCGAAGTTTTCTCAAATGGAAATTCTGTGTTTAGAGGAATACCATTAAGATAAATACGAACTCTTTCGGGAATTGATCTTCATGCTGATAAACTTCGAGGAACTCACTGTTATTTTTTATGACTGATTGGTAGAAAATTGCCACCAAGAAGAAGACGACTAAATCTGCACAAAATACATAGGCGTATAGGTCTATCTGTTTCTTACCTCCACCGATTACCGAAAGTATTGTGTAAGGGAACTGTATTTCTCTAAAAATATCAGCATGGTAAGCTTCTAGAATCTCACTGGTTACATCGGCAGACGGAGTTAACGACCTTTGCCATTCTTTGACGGAAGAACCTTCTGAAGGGGAGGCATATAACACCTCGAAAACAACCAGGGCAACGTTAAAATTTTCCGGACTTCGTTCAATGCTTTGAACTCGAACCCTACTTGCAGGATACATATTGAGGTTGTCTCTGCATCTTCTATCATGCAGAATCTGCAGCAACTTGTTCATTTTTGATTCAATTGTCTCAGGTTGAATGCCATCCCCAGATGGTGAGTTGACTTCCATAGATAGTTGCACAAAGTAAGGAGGAGTTTCGGATTCTTGTGTCAATGATATCCAATACCTGTAAAGGTTTCGAATCAACACTTCTGTTGTGTTCCTTATACGTAAAAGCAGTCTCTTTATTCTCTTGATAAATCCAAAATCATATGCAGCCGTGTCCTGGTACTGACTTTCTGTAGTAAAGCTGAACTCAGCTGCCGCTGTCCATTCTCCATCATTGGTAGTTATGGCATACTGTAAGAGAGTAAACAAATACACTAAAAATAGAGGCCAATGGATGATCACAAAAGATGACATGTTCTTGAATGACGGAAACCCCAAATCCCTAATCAACCCGGCTTCGAAAATCATCCCGAAATGTTGGATGATAATTTGGTATAAGTATTGAAGCAAAATACAGACCTCGGTGTAAATTAGCATAATAACCCAGAACATGTGGCTTGGACCGGTATTTACGCAGAGAGCATATAAGAAGAGACCAACCAGATAAACCATGGAAAGCAAACTAAAATTCCATAGGAAAATCAGGATAAAGCAACAGTAACAAACAACATTGTTATTTGATCTCATTTGTTCCCAAATATGGTGTAATATGATCCTGATTTGCCAGCGTGAAACATTGAACCTGTTCCTATCAGTATCAGATACCATCGAATGTGTTTTTTCAACATGTTCAATACCAAAATCGTTCTCTACCTCATAATATACCTCATCGTCTGAAGAATTATCAGATAAATCCTCCTTTTCGTGTTCAATGTTCAAGAGGTTCACTAGATTCATGACTGCCATACTACCAAGAGACTGCATCTGTGAAACCCCATCACCTATCAGTTGTACTGCTGACGCGAGTTGGCTTCTCTTGCCTACGTATTTTTCCTGTGGCCTTGTATGGGAATTAAGGAATGTGTTATCGTTAACTGTATCTTGTAGTTCATTGATCTCGAACATTGAATCGATTGACTGCTGTCTGGAGTCCTCTACAGACAGAACTCCAGTTCTTTCACTTATAGGAGATCCATTCATATCATAAGTAAATGACAAATCGGCATCTCGTTTTTCGGGGGCAGTTTGAGAAAGATTTGAGTTTACTGAAAAATTCTGGTTTCTCTTGATTTTGCTTTCAGGAAAGGTGTTACCACAATTAATGGTGCTCATACTTTGAAGTTGGATCAGCAAGTTGAGCATCTCTGATTTGATTTTTTCAACTTGTAGATTACGCATGCGCTTTTGTTCCTCGGATTTACGTATCTGTTGCAAATGTGCAGTCTTCCAAGCAGCCTTCTTCTCCTGCTCACGAACTAAAGCACCAATCTTTTCTGCTTCAATATATTTCGATACATAGTCAAACTCCAAGGATGAAAACATGTATGACTGAAGTGAAATCAGAATGAATATTATAACCTCAACAAGGGCAAATCTGGATGTAACTTGAAATCCGTATTTGTGCAACCCGATCACTTTGTTGATCTGATCTATTTCGCATTCCCCCTCACAAAAACCGCCTAGAAAAGGAGACTGGTATGCAAGGCTAAGGACAATAAGAGCAAAATTGTAAATCCGCAAGAATTTGAAGATACTATTCTTCTTCTTTAGTATTTGAAGTCTAATCCGGAAGAAAACTAGCGCAAATCCAAGGTATCCAAGGTGAAGAATATCATACTCTAGTGTTCCAGTGATCAAAATCAAAGCAAGCACAAGATCCAGTAAGTGACAATAACTGTAAAGCCTCAGGTAGTCAAGAAATGTCCACAAGACTTTTGTTTCAAATGAGAGATCACTCAGACCCGATACTTCTTTTGAGTGAAACATCATTTGTTTATATGTCTGAAACCCCGAGAGACTTGACAAGCGATCCGCATGAAGTTTAAGACAAGAAAACATGAATACCGCATAATAACTGATAAGCATTCTGGGATGATCTACTGCGAGACCTGCAAAAAGTTTTGGTAAAATAGCTTCACCGTTAAGGTAAATTAAACATAAGATTATAATGCAACAATGAAACCAACAATGGTTGACTAATAATCACATCCAAAAATTGCTTTCTCCTAGAAAAGAGTACTTCACATATATAAATTCTTTACGCCTTTGAAGCAATCTGATTGCTCATCTGTATGCAGTATATATATATATATATGAGTATCCTCTTTTATGGTGCTTGAAACAGAAATTAAAACCATTCAACTAGCTTGTTTTGAGTTTCAAATAGCATACGTATATATATTAAGTAATTTTGTCTCCTAACTGACTATGCAGAGCATTTCATAGAAAGATACCTAGCCAACACTTCTGGCAATAGTCAAAATGGATATGGGAACTTCTCCAACAGTCGTCGCAAAGCACTTCAGCCTTAGTCGGGTAAAGATGCATCCAAGAAGTAAGATTCAGAAAAAAAGCCATATACTCGAGGGTGATAACAGAGGCAAACAAGAAAACGAATAATAGCCACAGTTTACTTATGATGTCCCGGGGCAAAAGAATGCAAGCAGCAAGAGATGCAATGTAAAGCAAAGATATAGCATTCAGCACGGAAAAGCTGGCAAGAAGCAAAGCAATCATGTTAATCTCGAGGCCAAAGAGATTAAACATATTCTCTACCCAGAACTTGATATAAACTTTCAGACTAGCCTTTTGCATTGCCAACCTCTCCTTTTTCAACACATGAATTTGCTTTCTCTTCCATCTAAGGTTATTGTAGGAACTTTCCTGTGAGCGCCTGTTTGTATAGTTTCTTCCTTCAATGCCTCCTACAGGATCCATACCTCGAGAAAAGCTAGTCTTAAGAGATGGACATGAATAGCTTCTGGTATTTTTCATTTTGCTTAATAGCAGATTGACATCTAAAAATTTTCCTCTGGTAAAAACGGTGGCTTCATTTGAGGCTATTTCGGTTGCAATAAACAAATCACAAGAGTCCTGCAACCATCCTTCATTTATAAAGTTGCAAGGCATCTTTTCAAACCATTGAGAGACATTGTGCTGCAGAATACACGCAATAATAACCAGCACTTTTCCTCTCAAGCCAGATTCTACACCGAAGAAACCAGGTTCATACACCTGCAAGCCGAGGAAAAATGAAACTGAATAGTGTTTTTGACCAGGGAACATCTCAGCCTGGTAACCCCACATCTGAAAAGGATACTCAATCATCACAAGCAATGCAGTATAAACTAGAAGGAGTTTCGAAGGGATCTGAGAGTTTTTTGACAAAACCATACAAATGACTAATCCGAAAAGATAGGAAAACCCTAATGCACTAATCGGAGACAAAGATGCATAAAATACAGCAAGATATAGTATCTTTTCACTATGCCAAATTAGAAAGCGCTTGAGAAAACTAAAACTATCAGTTTTTGGCATGTCATCCCTTGGCGCAAAGTTTTCGCTTTGCCTCCTCTCATAACTATGTAGCTGCATCACAATTAATACAGCTAAGGACTCGCAAATGTTATTCAACATTGAAGCTTCTGGGTTATAACCAAAGGCTGAAGAAAGCTTAACCAACCCTGACAACCATTCCTGAAGCCAAGAGAACGCACTTAACCCATAAATGAACACAAACACTGCAATGGCATAAACTTTCAGGGGTAGCCAAAGGCGCTTTACCGTCTTCCCTACGAGTTGTCTTTCGGTGATCCACATTAGAAGGAAGAATAGGTAACCAAATGAAGAATAGTTAGGTATTACTACGTAAACTGTAAGAAGGATCGTGAGAAAGACAATATAAGCTCCACATGGTCGATATATCAAAAGAAACTTCTGACCAATAGCATTCAGATACAATCCTATCTTTCTCTCTGCAAGATCAAACAAAATGAAAATCAATGAGAATATGAATAAGTTAATTCGAGGTACCGTGATCAAAATAGACATGTGAATTGTGCGTATGTGCCTGTTACAGAGATTCCTATAGTTTCCTCAGGATGTGATTCTTATAAATCATAGATAATTGATGAGGATGCTCATATTTAGAAATTAGAATCATTCGAAAGAAATCAAGTTTTGCACATCATTGAAACTGAAACACCAAATATGAATCTAAGGATGATCAATCCTAACTGTTTATAAATGTCACATTACTTGATCCAAAACACATAATAGGAATCTTCATCAAAATGATGAAAAGATTTGGGAGCCTTTCTAGAAATATGCTTGTTTTCAAGGCAGAGAAAATATCAAAGCAATGTTGGATATTTCAACCTCGGATGAGTAGTACCATGAGAAAAGTTTATTGTCGGGGTCTTTCTTGATCTTGAGGTATAAACCGTCAAAATGACAGATTTGAGCAAACCAGCTCTCAAGATGCTAAATCCTATCGGAGGGCAAGGAGTGTGTTGAACTATCGCTGAAAATGAAAGCAACATTTCAAAACCGTGATTATGAATGGCAGAACAGCAAGCAAGCACAGCGATCTTCAGGAAGTCTCCAGAATTAACATGTTTAAAGGAACCTGCACCAAATCATCCAAGGTAATATTAGAAATTCTTTTTACTTAGGAGATGTAAGAATGTACTGAATAATCATCTATATTTGCCAGCTTTTTATCATCTGCATTAAGATTATAGAGGAAATTCGAATAAAGTATACACATACCTAATTGCGAAAGAATTTTCTCTGCAATTGAGCCTTTCTTCTCCAAGGTGGAAGATATTAGATTAAGCTGAAGAAGATATAACAGTGTGAAATGTGCCTCACATAAAAGAATTAGGCAATGCCGTATTTTCGTACCTACATGTTGGCTTAATAGAAATATCAAGAAAAACGCCACTGAGATGTAAGCAGAAAGGTCATAGTTAGTACAGATATAATATTATTTTCTGATAAGATTGCAAATTCTTTGGCTACCAAACTGAACATAATTGAAAATGGCTTAACTTACTGTATAAGGCAGGGATGAGGCCAGGGTTCAATGCAATAAGGAATAATAGCAAAAGCGCCATAGCTCGAGAACTTTTGCGCAGTCCATATACTATTGTAGCTACAATTAATACTTTAGTTTCTTCAGTGTCTGAAATTAAAAACCAATGTGAAACTATTGTCAGTAGATTAAACATCGAAACTGGTAAATAAAACTAGATGCATAACAACAAGAATGAATGGTTGGATGTTTAAAGAAGTGATAATGGGATTAAGATATTGTTAGGAAAATAAACCGAGTACAAGTAATTTCCCTATAACCAGATTAGTGAGAATGCGAAATAAAAGCGGAAAAATAATACCCGAAAATTGATAACGGAGTTCAGCCAATTGTGCTTACGTCTCCGGGCTGCTGCAGATCTTTTACTAAGAGAGAAAATTTACAGGTGTTTACAAAACACTCACTACTCACAAGAAAGCTCTCTAGTATAGGAAGAAAGAAATGTTTTGGGATGATTTTGAAGCTAAATGGGTAAGGGTATTTATAGTAGAAATTTAGGGACTAATCTTTGAAAATACCCTAAAGTGCAATGACTAAAGTGAATTTACCCATTCCTATTTTCAACAAACATCTACCAAAATTTTACCAAACTTTGAAAAACATTTTTCAAAGAAACATTTACCAAACTTTGAAAAAACATTTTCCAAAGTTGGTTGCCAAACTTTGAAACTTTTAACAATCTCCCACTTGAAGACTGATTTTAATATGTCTTCACACCTCGATCAATGCAGCAGCATGTCTGGTCTTGTTATTCTAGCATGCCAACTGAAGCTGAACACAACTTCAGTTTGTCCGTAGTCACCTTCTTTGTCAACATGTCTGCCGGATTTTGAGCTCCACTAATCTTTTCAAGTTTCAAAATCCCATCTTCCAGAAGAGACCGGATAAAATGATTTCTCAATTGTATGTGCTTTGTCCTGGAATGAAAAGACGGATTCTTTGCTAGATGGATAACACTTTGACTGTCGCAATACAAGATATTGTTTTCTTGTTTCTTGCCTAACTCTTCCAAGAAACTTTGGAGCCAAACCATCTCCTTGCTGGCTTCCGTAACAGCGACATATTCTGCTTCAGTTGTGGAGAGAGCAACTATCTTCTGTAGTTGAGAAACCCAACTCACTGCAGTTCCTCCTAGAGTATAGACATACCCTGTAGTGCTCCTTCTGATGTCGACATTTCCGGCTAAGTCAGCATCTACATAGCCTGTCAGTATCATATCTCCACCTTTGAAACAAAGTGCTTTGTTTGTGGTACCCCGAAGATATCTGAGGATCCATTTGACTGCTTCCCAGTGTACCTTGCCCGGATTATTCATGTACCTGCTAACAGCTCCCACTGCATGAGCAATATCTGGTCTGGTACAAACCATGGCATACATCAGACTTCCAATTGCTGAGGCATACGGCACCTTCACCATGTGTGCACGTTCTTCCTCCGTCTTTGGTGATTGGTCTTTGGAGAGTCTGAAATGAACACCTAAAGGTGTACTTACTGGTTTAGCATCTTGCATGTTGAACCTGGAGAGTACTTTGTTGATGTACTCAGCCTGCGATAACATCAAAGTCACCGACTTTGTGTCTCTCTTGATCCTCATCCCAAGAATCTGCTTTGCAGCGCCCAGATCCTTCATAGCAAACTGCTTCGACAATTTTTGCTTCAAGTTTATGATCTCTTGCATGTTTGAGCCTGCAACGAGCATGTCATCAACGTACAACAATAAAATAATGAAACTATTGTCGAACCTCTTGATGTAGCAACAATGATCTGCTTGGCATCTGGTAAAACCACTGCTACTCATGAAACTATCGAACTTCTTGTACCACTGTCTAGGAGCTTGTTTTAAACCATACAAGCTCTTCTTCAACCTGCATACCAGGTTTTTCTTGCCTGCCTCTATGAAGCCTTCTGGCTGCCTCATATAGATCTCTTCCTCCAAATCACCATGAAGGAAAGCTGTCTTTACATCTAACTGCTCGAGATGTAAATTCTCTGCAGCTACAATTTTCAACACCAGTCTGATTGTAGACAGTTTTACGACTGGAGAGAAAATTTCATTGTAGTCAATACCTTCTTTTTGCTGAAAACCTTTGACAACCAATCTTGCTTTGTAGCGTTTTCTCCCATCATGTTCTTCTTTGATCCTGTAAATCCACTTGTTATGGAGCGCTTTCTTGCCTGGTGGTAATTCAGCTAATTCCCACGTCTGATTTGACATAAGCGAGTCCATCTCATCTTTCATGGAAGACTCCCACTTGACTGAATCCTCCACCTGCATTGCTTCATCATAGCACTCTGGTTCACCATTGTCAGTCAGCAACAAATAGTGCAAAGAAGGCGAATACCGTTGGGTTGGTTTAGGAATTCTGGAGGAGCGTCTCAGTTCTGGTGTGTGTGGTTCTTCTTGAACTGCTTCAGGATTGATCTGAACATCATTTCCAGAAATATCCTCGAACTCAGCAAATTCTTTTGTTTCAGCTTCGGTATTACTTGATTCTGCGGTTGACCTATCTTTGTACATCACATTTTCATTGAAAATGACGTCTCTTCTTCTGATGATCTTTCGATTTTCGTAGTCCCAAAACCGGTAACCGAACTCATCACCACCGTAACCAACAAAGACGCATTTGTTGGACTTGGCATCAAGTTTACTTCTTTCAGCAGAGTTTATGTGTACATAAGAAATACAACCAAACACTCTTAAGTGTGAAAGGTTTATTTCTTTCTTGCTCCAAACTTCCTCTGGTATTCCGCCATCCAAAGGAACTGAGGGCCCACGGTTGATCAGGTAAGCTGCAGTGTTGATAGCTTCAGCCCATAGAAATTTGGGCAATCCGGCATGTATCGTCATGCTTCTGGCACGTTCATTCAGAGTTCTGTTCATGCGCTCTGCTACGCCATTCTGCTGCGGTGTTATGGGAACTGTTGTCTCCATCTTGATCCCATTGTTTGCGCAGAAATCTCTGAAACTACTGTCTCTGTACTCTCCTCCATTGTCAGACCTCAACCGCTTGACTTTCAAACCAGTCTCATTTTCCACCATGGCCTTCCATTTTCTGAAGGTATCAAAGACTTCTGATTTATTCTTCAGAAAATAAACCCACACCTTCCTTGTTGAATCATCGATGAAGGTGACATAATATAGTGAGCCTGCAAGAGATGGAACAGGGGATGGTCCCCATACATCAGTATGAACCAATTCTAACCTTTCTGCCTTGGGAGTCTTGCCAATCTTTGTAAAACTGACTTTCTTTTGTTTTCCAAAGATGCAATCCTCGCATAGTCCAACATCTACATTCTTTAGATCCGGCAGTTTCCCTTTTGACAGAAGTATCTTCATTCCTTTCTCGCTCATATGGCCGAGCCTTTGGTGCCATAGGTTTGATTTTCCATCAGCATCTGCTACTGCAATGATATTCTCTAAATTGGAGGTTACATAGAGAATACCGGTCTTCTTACCACGAGCAATGACGAGTGCTCCTTTGGTAATCTTCCATTCACAGCCTGAAAAAGTTGTACTATATCCTTCTCCATCAAGCTGCCCAACAGAAATCAGATTTCTTTTGAGGCCAGGAATATGTCTCACTCCTGTCAGCTTCCAGGTGGTCTGGTTTGGCAGCTTTAGTCGGATGTCTCCTTTTCCGACGATCTTCAAGGTTTCATCATCAGCTAGATGAACCTTCCCAAAATCACCACTGACATAGTTCTCCATGATTTCTCGGCATGGGGTGGAGTGGAAAGATGCCCCTGAATCCAAGATCCATGATTCAATCGGACTGTTGACGCTTAAAATCATGGCATCACCTGTCTCCTCCGTCATGTTGGCAGATTCCTGTGCGCCGGTATTTTTCTTCGGTGCTCGACAATCTCTTTTGAAGTGACTCTTTTTGCCGCAATTATAACAGGTAAAATCTTTATTTCCTGTTCTTGATTTGCCCCTTCTAGATTTTGATCTGCCACGATTTGAATTTCTTTCTGAAGTTCTCCCTCTAGACTCCGTGTGTAAGGCTGAGGAGGTTGATGCTTCACCCGATTCTCTTCGTCGAATTTCTTCACTCAATACCAGATCCCGAACATCGTCGAATTTTAATTTGCTGTTTCCCGACGAACTGCTGACTGCTGTAACAGTAGCATTTCAACTGTCTGGTAGAGATGATAAGAGAATTAAAGCTCGAACTTCATCATCGAACTCAATTTCCACTGAACTCAACTGGGTTGTGATTGTGTTGAGTTCATTTAGGTGTTGTGCCACCGATGCCCCTTCCGCCATCCGCAAATTGAATAATCGCCTCATCAAATGAACTTTGTTTGAGGCCGATGGCTTCTCGTACATACTGGAGAGAGCCGCCATAAGACCCGCCGTGGTCTTTTCCTTTGCTATGTTAAAAGCAACATTGCGGGATAACGTCAGTCGGATAACTCCGAGGGCTTGTCTGTCGAGAAGAGCCCAATCTTCATCCTTCATGCCCTCTGGTTGCTTTCTTGAGAGAGGTTGATATAGATTTTTCTGGTACAAAAAATCTTCAATCTGCATCTTCCAAAAGCCAAAGTCCGCACCATCGAACTTTTCAATTTTCACCTTCCCTTCGTCTGCAGCCATCGCTCCCACTCGAATCTGGCTTCGTTTGGATCGTTTCTGACAATTCTTGCGAATCACCGTGTATTAGAACACCACCGTCGACAAACTCGTATCGCCGACCAAATTTCACTATTCACGAAATTCACTATTCACGTGAATAGTAATGAATAGTAACCTCGCAGAAAATTTGACAAAATTCACAACCAAAAGCTCTGATTACCAGTTGTTAGGAAAATAAACCGAGTACAAGTAATTTCCCTATAACCAGATTAGTGAGAATGCGAAATAAAAGCGGAAAAATAATACCCGAAAATTGATAACGGAGTTCAGCCAATTGTGCTTACGTCTCCGGGCTGCTGCAGATCTTTTACTAAGAGAGAAAATTTACAGGTGTTTACAAAACACTCACTACTCACAAGAAAGCTCTCTAGTATAGGAAGAAAGAAATGTTTTGGGATGATTTTGAAGCTAAATGGGTAAGGGTATTTATAGTAGAAATTTAGGGACTAATCTTTGAAAATACCCTAAAGTGCAATGACTAAAGTGAATTTACCCATTCCTATTTTCAACAAACATCTACCAAAATTTTACCAAACTTTGAAAAACATTTTTCAAAGAAACATTTACCAAACTTTGAAAAAACATTTTCCAAAGTTGGTTGCCAAACTTTGAAACTTTTAACAGATATGATAGTTTTAAGTAAGATTTCGGCAGCAGAGGTATCAAGCTAATAGTAATACTAGCAAAATGTTTGGCCTTTTGATAGCCCTAGAAAGGTTGACTTGAGAAGGAATACAGATTATAAAAGAATCAGCCTAAGAAAAGAAAAGGTGATCCATCCAGATAACCAGATATTATAGTTTCCTTACCATCTAAAGTGGAATCATCACTCGAAGAAGGTCCATCCTTCTCAGATAAGTATAGGAAAACGGAATTGTTCACAAGATTACTCAATGCAACAAGAACCCCAAGGCTAAATTGTGCCAATAGATAAAATCCAGGAATAGGGTAGTGCCATAGACCGATAGTTTCCCAAATCTCCATGTCCTGCAAGCATTTTTTTCAATATGTCAAAGATTATACAATTATATCAATTTAAACTGCTGACAGAATATAAGCTAGAAAACTACCTCCCATTTCTCCTTATTAAGGGCCGTGAAAGCTATGTTGAATATGTATGTGCTAACAGCCCACAAGAGAATCAAAACAAGAAGCAACCCATTCAAGCGATGCAAGTGATACATCGAGGGGAAGATATACAGAATATAGCCAACATATGCAAGAAGTCCGAATGCATAGAGACTTGCAAAGTGGAAACTCCATAAGGAAAGAGCAAGCAAGGAAATCTGCCATATTCAAGTAAATACTCTTAAGAAACAAAGGAACCACTGTGGAGGTAACAAATTTCGATCCATGTGATTTCCAAAGAGAAGAAAACACATTAAGGTTCACACAAACCCTACAGTTCCTGTCGGACTTACGATATAGAATCAAAGGAAAGCATGACAAATGAACCCTGTAATCCATTGATGTCCCTACCATAGTCAGTTAAGAAAAACAGTTCACATGGGACATATCTATAGTTTTGTAGGTCTTTATTGTTATTATTACTATTTATGGAATCGAATTTGCATTATTTCACATCCATATGCAGTACCTGAGACATTATGATTGTGAACAAAAACAATTCACAAGGGATGAAAGTTCTATAAAAGAAAGAAATGTATTATGCTTACCGGAAAACCATAAGTAAAATAATTAATACCAAAAGTCCGTAAAATTGGTCCTCTCAGCAAAATATTAGAGTGCCTAACACCAGATCTGCAAAGCATTTTTCAGACGAAGAGAAGTTAAAACTGTAGATATCAATGCATCTCCTCTCATGTTATGCAATGATAAATATCAAAACAACCTTATATCATGCTGACCGCCAAACTTATAAACACAATGTGTGCATGGTTTACATTTTGCCATTCCGTGAAATTTTCAATACCAAAACCAACCAAAATGTGCTTTGAAGGGAAACCTCCCACATTAAATACCTCGATTCACGAATAAAGAAAGAATGCTTTGAAGGAAGAAGTTGCTTAGTCAAGTTGCTTGCTCTCATTGACATGATGAAATCCATTTCTATGAGATCACATCTAATCCAAGATAGCTGCAAAAAAGTTAGGGGTTACAGCATGGAAACAGTAGCTCAAGTATAGCAGTAAGTTATACTCACAATGACATAAAAGACTAAAAGAGAAAGACCAGAACAAATTTCCGACCACTCTGACTTAGTAGATATCTTATAGAGCCCAATGAAATTAGCCAGCCACCCAAAGATCCCAGAATACTCAACAGGGAGTTGGTATATATAGAGCAAGATGATGTTCAAGCCAGCATATAACAAAAGGTACCTCCAAGACCTTCAAAATCAGACCCAAAAAATATTAAATCAATAAATGAGCCAGATAACATTAAAAGTTAACAAATGCGAAATCGTAATCTGATCTCTAGCCATAGGAGTTTGAAAATGCTTACCTGAAAAGGCCAAGAAAGTTGCTTGTTAAAGACCAATCAATAAGTCCAATACTACTGCAAATAAAAAATGGTAAAGAAGCCCAAGAGGGATGACTGATTCCCACAACAAGTTGTACAGCAGGCAACAATAAGCAGCATAAAACCCTGAGATGGGAACCTTCAATGAAAGGAAATAGGAAGATAGTTTCAAGTCAAATTCTAATGTGTATGTAACTATAGGAACGGGAGAAATCAACAATGTAACTTAAAAACAACTGATTACATCAAACATTTGTCAAAGAACATGAGTAACCCCAAAATTGTTTATTGTTTTGACTAATAACACATACCAAACAGTACCAGTTGACTTTCTTAATGACAAAACTGGATTGAACTCAAAGTCAAGACTTCTTAGACAATCATGTAAGCTAAATGTAACCGTGTCGGTAAAGGATTCATTACACACAGGACAACCAAGAAGAAAGAATTAAGTTTTGGTGCTTTCAGAAACAAACAAGAAGCCTCATGACCTATTGAACTAGGATGTCTACTGCTTATTAACTAAAGTGCTAAGTATTTTTTTTAAAGAAAAGAAAGGTAAATCCAAAAGCATATGACATATAAACAGAATATATATACATAACGAGAATTAGAAAATTGTTAACAAGAAAGATGTGCTGCAAAACAAACCTATCTGCATTACAAAGGAATATAGATCACCCCAAAATGCATCTCTCTGTGAATCCATGCCAAATCTACTATCGCGTATTTCAAATAATGCAACTAAAGCTGCTAGTATTTGTACTATCAAGAAATATATTACAGACGGAAAGCTCGACGACTGATCTCTGCAAAATTCATCTCATATTAATGTTCAATTTATATAGAAAGAAAACATAAATATTAATTCAAGTGTTAAATTTTACCTTTCGAAACCGATTAGCTTTGCCCATTGAGCATCAGAAATGCTCCATTGGTCTCCATTCACAATCCAAACAATGTAAAATATGGAATGTGCTAGTATAGTTACCGATGAAAAGATAAGTGTATACCATGATAAAAGAGATTGCCATTGAAACTGAAAACCTATCACACACCAAAAATACTTGCTTAGAAATTCTAGCCTTAGAGAATGTAATTTCTGATCTGACTTTAGTCGTTTATGGCATGAATAAAAATGCACGTAAGAACTAATGAAATGATTAAAGAAATGCAATCAAGAATATGACTTATCACTTGATCCTTTACACCTTCCAAAGTTTTGAATATAAAACCGTAGCTTGATTGGCTATAAAACACTGGAAGTTTTGAATATAAAACCATCGAGAATTTACATTATCTTTAACTTCTTGGTTGGCTGTTAACTGAATTCCCATTTAAACAAACAATAATTTCATTATATCTAATACATTATTGATTGTAAATATTCTAAGAAGAAAGGAAGTGAGAATTCAAATGAAGAGAGAACATAAGTTCTGTTCGAAAAATTGCTTGCTGAAAAATTAAAGAAATGTACTTCGTCTAGAAATTATCCTTCGTTAATCTACATTGCAAGACAAAAAACAGGAAAAGTTTAGACGGTTACCTATTTCTGGAGCTGCATATTGAATTAGGAGAAAGGTTATCAGATCAATCAGAGATATCAAACTCCGATTTAGCAAAGCAGCTGCAGAAGGAAAAGGGAAAAGGAAAATAAAATAGTTAACAGTTTCCCATTTTTGCTTTAGAATTTAACAGGTTTTCTCTTAGCTAACTCTTCAAGCTAAATGCATAATCACATTACGAGGCATTAAAAAAAAAGTTATCTTTTTCTACTGCATTCTTAGAGTAACAGTAGATATTCACAAAAACATTTCATTTACAGATATGAAAACATTCTGCAGTTCTGATTATCTTCAATTGATAAAACTTTGATAAGGAATCAGATCCACATTAAATTCTCTGATACGAAAATATGTCGAATGAAAAAATTTGCTACGATATTGGAGTTATGAAAGCATACCTATCAAGAGAAGAAAAGGCAATACAAATCCAATGAGGAACCTCCCCATAATAATCTCTCCTTCTAATCGGAAACATCATCTTTGTAGTTGCACCATAACTGAAATCCAGAACTCATTAGCGTAATATTGTATCGTTGATGCCCAATTAGAGTCAAAATAATATGAACCCAAGACAAGATCACCCATCAGAAAAAGCTTCATTGAGCAGATAGTTCTTCATGGTTTTTCACCATTGATGAGTTTTGAGAACACTTCATGGTTGGCTGCAGTCAATTATTATGAAGAAAATAAGATAAGCCATTTCATATAAATCCGTCTCTTATTCACCAAATCAATGCTGCAACAAGAATCATAAAAAGAAAAAGGCCTTTTTGGGTTCTTTTGGTGGGAAGGATGTCTTTTTTATCTTCTCACAATATTACTTGAAACCAAAACTGGATTTTTGTAAACATTGATCTCAGATTTAGCCTACGTGATTTTCACTTTAGATGATAGTTTAGAAAGTTTGGATCTTTGCATTTTTTTTATTCAATGTATAACAATGTTTGCAAAAGTTGCCACTTTTCCAAAATACTAGGTAACGGAACATATGTTCCTCATATATATATATATGGGTATTTTCGGGATTATGAAATGTTACCCTACAATGTTTCTATGGACCCAAAAGATTAGTGCTCCATATGATGTGATGCTAATGACTGTTTTGACCTTGTTCATTCGTCCAATAAATGGACCGGTTATTATTTTCCCAAACAAATGAAACTGCCCAAAAATGGGAAGCGTTAGCAAAGAAGGTACGATGAAACAATGGTGGAATTCGTGATTGAAAATGAAGAATGTTTAAACAATCGCCTGAGAAAAGATGCCGAACTTGATGTTGTTACCGAAACACATAATCCTCGTCCGACATGGTGAGTCCGAAGGCAACAAAGACCCCTCGGCCTACACGACTACCCCCGATCACAAGATCTCCTTAACCGAACATGGCCGAGCCCAAGCCCGACTCGCCGGTTCCCGGCTCCGGGACCTCATTTCGGACAATGGGTCTTCCCATGATTGGCGGGTTTACTTCTACGTATCTCCTTACGAGCGCACCCGATCCACGCTACGGGAGATTGGGAAATCGTTCTCGAAGAAAAGGGTGATTGGGGTGAGGGAAGAGTGTAGGATTAGGGAACAAGATTTCGGGAATTTTCAGGTGGAGGAAAGGATGAGGATTACAAAACAAACAAGGGAAAAATTTGGGAGGTTTTTTTATAGGTTCCTTGAAGGTGAATCTGCTGCAGATGTTTTTGATCGAGTTTCCAGTATGTTCTTCTTCTTCATCATCATCATCATCATCAAATTTGCATTATTTTTAATGCAAACTTTGCATTTTGCTTAAATGAATGCTTAGGAAATCTAGTTTCTGTTAAGAAATTTGTTATTTGGAAATGGGAAATCGAATTGCTTTTGATACATTTTTGTTGGTTGTTTCTCCTGTGTTTTTTTCTCTTGTTCGAATTAAATACTTCTGGAATTGATATATTGGATTGTTTTGAAACCTTGAAAACAAAAAATTTGGGAAAGAAAGTTGGATTCTTGTTTTAATTCTGGTTTATTGCTTCCTTGACTACGTATGAGTACAAATTTCTTTTATGTATGTCTTTTGGATTAGGTGCCATTTTAGTCAATGTTTTTATATGGATGATATGGTGGCGTTACAGGCTAAAATATTACATAATTTTACTTCATTAATAATTTTTAGTTCTTAAATTGTTTGTGTATGCCTGTTGGGAGTTACTTTCTGGAAATCATATGCCTCGTTTGAATGTACGCGATGGTCAAACAGTCCTTCGGATTTGTTAGATGTTGGCTCTAACGAGTGGCTGCATGAACCAACGAGGATAAGTCTCGGGTTTGCTGGATTTTTCGTTTCGTCCTTATAGAACTTGAGTGAGTTAGCAGTGTTCACCAACTCAAAGTCAAAGGTTTAATGTTATAAAAGTAGAATCGAACCAGATGTGAATCTCTTTTCAAGTAGATGCAGTTTGTATCTATTGGAAACATATCTCTGGCTCTGAGTTATTATGTTCTATGTAAGGGATACATCTTTCTTGTTTTTCTAATCTTAGTCCTATGAGAACGAGCATTAGTAATCAAATGGTATTGATCTTAATTTGGATTGATGAAAGTACTATTGAAAGTTTTTTTTTTTGGATTATACAGGTTTTCTTGAATCTCTTTGGAGAGATATAGACTTGAATAGGCTTGGAAATGATCCTTCTCAAGAATTGAATCTGATAATAATCTCACACGGTTTAGCCTCTCGGGTGTTTTTAATGAAGTGGTTCAGATGGACGGTTGAGCAATTCGAGCAGCTATATAATCCAGGCAATTGCGAGATTCGAGTTATGGAGTTGGGACCTGGTGGAGAGTATAGCTTGGCGATCCATCATACTGATGAAGAGTTGAGAGGATGGGGACTCTCTGACGAAATGATAGAAGACCAGAAATGGCGAATTAAGGCTGACAGAACCAATTTGCATGGTCATTGTAAAGGGTATCTTAATTCGTTTTTTGACCAAGAATTAGACTCAGATGAAGATATCAAAGAAGGAGATATTGTTTCAGATAATGAATTCGAAGATGTCAAAGAAGATATTGATTCAGATAATGATTACAAAGACATTTGTGTACCAAATTCTTAAAGAGTTCAAAAGCTGTCATAAACTACCTGTTGGAAAGCCTGATTATTTGTAAATAGCTAATTTGTTAGTCTTTTTTTTTTTATTTTAGAATTCCACCATTATTTTTTGTTTGAGATAAAGAAGATGCCAAATTGAAGTTTCAACATCAGCTAGCACTGGGAACCGAGTTATCTCCATAACCAGCTGCTTACAAAGAACAAACCAGAAGGTAAATTTAGCTAAACTCGATACTGTTCCTATGATACATGTATAATTTCTCATCTAGCATAGAACCTACTTTTCGAATCGAGTTAAGGGATTTTGAATCACTCTATTTCTTGATCGAATGAGTCCATTTTTTATGCTCTTCTGCATTCAGCCATCTCCTGTACTGTGTCATTTATGCTAACCATTTTCTTTGGAGGTCAAACTTCAGACCCAATTGCAGGCATGACTGCTTCCTATCCTTTGATGGTGCAGAAGCTATGTTATTCGATCTCAGGTGTTGTCTGATACGAGTATATGCCTGACACGGATATGTTCATTTTTTTCAAATTTTCCATGTATTTCAAAGGTCGTTGGAAGTTCATATCACTATATCCAAATCCGGGTATGCATCGGATACAGATAATTGAAGAAAAATGAAGAGTAAGAATAACAGAGTGCAGATAATTGAGCTTGATATAGCTGATGCAGTACCGGGAGAAGGTAACCGATCTGTAGCATGATGAGAACTATGGGCGCATGTTACACTTTTCATTACATATGATTGTTTTAGAATCTGTTCTTTGTATGGAATGAAGGGAATTTTAATTCATTCCATTGATTCTTTTGCCTGTAAGAAGTGAAAATTATTTTGAGAGAAATACTTCTATTTTCTTATGAGAAGAAAACATCACGTTTTTTGTTACCTGGCTATAACTTACTCGAGTTCAAGCCTCAACTCGAAATTCTGAGTTCACCATGTTCAAAACTAGCTTGAAAGATGAAGGGGCGAAGATAAGAGTCCTATAAAGTCGACCTCAAGAAAAGGGGGATTGGGGGGGGGGGGGGAAGCAGGAGTGTACTTCCTCATTAGGACTGTAAATGAGACGAGACAGATCGCGAGCTACTCGAGATTGACTCGATCAAAGCTCGATAAATACTCGGATCGAATGGACTCGAGCTCGACTCGAGTTCTTAACGAGCCGAAACGAGCTACTCGATATTCGACTCGAAAAGCTCGTGAGCAGCTCGAAAATATAATATATTAAGATTTTATTTTTTTAGAAATAAATTATTAATAATATTAATATTTATGTATTGATTTTTTAATAAAAAAAATACAGTAAGATTTCTTGTATTTAAGGTTCATGTTCGAGTTTGAGTTTAAGGCTTCAATCGAGTTAAGTTTAATAATTTTTTTTTTCATTTCGAGCCTTTTCGAGCTGCTCTCGAGCTTCAGTTTAGGATTTCGAGTTTTCGAGTCGAGTCGAGCTTCATTTCAAAGTTTTCGAGTCGAGTCGAGTCTCAGTAATACTCAAGCTCGACTCGGCTCGTTTACACCCCTATTCCTCATTAATGTGAATGAAGCAAGAATTACGGAGACTCGACATACTTTTTTCATCAAGGTAAGTGGTTCTAACTACATTTCACTTAAAGAAGTACATTGAAGGAAAAAAATAGTCACAGTAATTATTCCAGTTTGAGAGGTGTAGCTACAACATCATCGGTGGAAGACATTTTTTTTCAAAAAAAGGTGGATCCGAGTACTTTTCGGTGAGTGTGATGAAATATACTGATTTAGAGCTTCCGGATTCCTAGTTAATGTAACACCTCCAACTCGTACCCAACTCAGATACGAATCCGATGTGTCACATTAACTATTTAAAACATGTACATTTATAAAAACAATAGAAAATTTAAACTTTCATTAACATAAAGTTAACAATTTACATAAGTGAGTTCAAACATTACAAAATTGATCAGAGCATGCGTACTTTACGACTCTGTTTACATGCCAACATATCTATTACATGAACAAAACATACTGTGCAAAGTACTTCTGATCTGATCTTCGAGTGGATATATGCTGCTCTGTAGATCCTAAGGTTGATCCTCTTGCTTTTCAGTACCTACGTGTAAAACACTTACACGCTAAGTCATAGACTTAGTGAGACATAAATATATAATAATGCATTTCCTATACATATGAACATGCAATCTAATTATTCAAATGCAATTATGATTATCATATCATAAATCAATAATGCCATATATGAATAAGTGTAAACAGTAATAACATGTTAATACACAATCATGTAAATACTCTTTATATATTGTATAATGTACATTACTGAGAACTCAAGGTATACGAGTACTTTGAGGTTGTGCACAAATATGTTGTCACCACAGCTCGTATAAGAATCCACTAAGTAGCATGTGAAATCTATCTCCCGAAGGACCTATCATAGGTCTTGAAGGACATATGCAACCCTCGACTCTTGGCATGTCAACTATACCTATAGCTCTCATATCACATAACATGGGCACTATCATTATGCTTCATATATTCATGTATGCTTATCATTTCGCTTATAATCACAAATGTCTTTTCTTCTATCACATATCACATGTGCATATGATAATCAATCTCATGTCGTATAATATATGTTAATTGAATATGTTCACATTAATCATATATCAGTTACCCAATCATGTACCCATATATAAATATAACTTATGCATGTATTTATAATGATCATCATGTATTCATGTTCATAACTATTGAACTATGAAAACTAACATAGGAAATAAACATATCACAAGTCTTATTTCCATTGAATTATACCTATAGTATGCACTTACCTTAGCCTTACTAAATTCCCAAATCCACCTCTATGGTTTTCTCTCTTTGGATCAATCCTAACTTTATGGTTGTTCCGGAACTGGCTTGTGCTCGATATCTACACAATCATACATATATACATATCATCATTCCAAATATCATGATTCGATCCTTAACTTCTTAAGCTAGAAGAAAGGTTTAATTTTTTTCCATTTAAAGTAGTATCAGTACCCTTATAGAGTATCGATACTTCCCTAGTTGTGGTATCGATACCAAGCCTGGTATCGATACCCAATTTGCATTATGGAATCCTTGTTTCAAGAGTGATATCGATACCTTCCTTATGGTATCGGTACCCTTTGTATCGATACTACCCTCCCGAGTATCGATACCCTGTGAATAGCTTTGTTAAATCAGACTTATGGTATTGATACTGTTCAACCAGTATTTATACCCCTATACCAAAATTCACTCTTTTTCTTTTGAAGTATCGGTACTGGATGAAGCAGTACCGATATTCAAGCCCAGATTTTCACATTTAAACCCGAAAATTCACTCATTTCAGCTCAAACACTTCATGTCTTAATCCTTTTCATACTCTTAACTCAAATGCACATATTTAAACCAATTTCTTTAATTCAACACATCCTTATCCTTAAAATCTCATCCTCCATATGAAAATCAAGAATCAAACTAAATTTTCAACATGTTCTGATTTCAATTCTATCACTTCATATCTCTTAATTCAACTATTGACAAGTCAAATTTAGTTTTAAATTCCACTTATCAACTCTTTGCTAAGATTTCATTTAAAGACTCCTTATCTTTAATCTCTCCTAACTCCTTCATTCTTTAATTTAAAGTTAACTTAAGTTTTCCTTAAGCTTAAGTATCACCTTAGGATCATCAACCAAACTTAAACTCAATGAATAATTAGCTAACAAAAAAACTCACCTTAGCAACTTGGGTTCACGGTTGAAAGAAAGAAGAAGGATGAAGATAACTCTGAAAGATAATATTTTTTTTCTTCTACATATCCCACGTGTATATATTTCTTCCCCCGTCATATTTTTAATTCATTAAATGATCAAATGACCATTTGGCCCTTCCATTCATCAATTTTTATATTTAATCATATACAAAATTTTTAATAAAAATCCCTGAACTATTCAATTTATCTACTTTAGCCAATAAATTCTGATTTTTTCCAATTTAGTCACTAACCCGGTGTTGAGGATGTTATAAATCTCCCCCTTAAGAAAATTCATCCTCAAATTTTCATTGCACAAAAAGATGGGGGTACTGATTCCTCATGTCCTCTTCAGGCTCCCACGTTGCTTCCTCTATATTGTGATTCCTCCACAATACTTTGACCAATGGAATAGTTTTGTTCCTTAATTGTTTCACCTTGTGAGCTAATATTTGGACCGGTTCTTCCTCATAAGTCAGGTTAGACTGAACCTCTATCTCCTCTGGTGTTACAATATGGGAGGGATTAGACCTATATCTCCGAAGCATTGAAACGTGGAAAACGTTATGAATGTTCTCCATTTTCGGTGGCAAAGCCAATTGATATGCCACTGGTCTTACTCTTTGAACTATCTCATAGGGCCCAATAAATCGAGGACTAAGCTTTCCTTTTCTTCCAAACCTCAACACTTTCTTACATGGAGACACCTTTAAAAACACTTTATCTCCGACTTGAAACTCAATTTCTTTCCTCTTCAGATCCACATATGATTTATGTCTATCAGCGGTCGCTTTCAGATTATTTTGAATCACTTTAACTTTCTCTTCCATTTCCTGAATCAACTCAGGACCAAATGTAACATCCCAAACTATTGGTTAGTGACCAAATTGTAAAGTTTTAGAATTTGGTGACTAAAGTAGAAGAATGGATTAGTTCAGTGATTTATTTGGAAGTATTTCCTAAAAGTTGTTAGTAATTATTAAAGGAACTAAAGGTTAAATTGGTCATTTGATCATTTAAGGAATTAAAAATATGATAGTGGGGATATATATTTTTACACGTGGGAGTGTAGGAAACCAAAAACAATGTTTCCAGAATTCTCTTTTCTTTGTGCGTGAAGCTCCAGCTCAAAGGCGAGTTTCTTAATTAGTTGGTTATTTGTTGAATTAAAAGTTGGGTTATGATTCTTAGGTGATACTTAAGCTTAAGGAAAGCTTAAGTTATCTTAAAATCAAAAGATAAATGAGTTAGGGAAGATTAAAGATTTGGAGTTCTTGAGTGAATTTTCAGAATGGAGTTGATAAGTTGAACTTGAAGCTAAATTTGACTTGTCATCAGCTTAATTAAGAAGTATTAAGTATTAGAATTAGATTTGAAACATGTGGAAAATAGGGTATGATTCTTGAAATTCCTAAAGAGGAGAGGATATTAAGGTTAAAGATGAGATAAATGAATATTAATGAGTTTAAGTATGTATATGTAAGTTAGGAATATGAAAGGGGTTGAAATATGAAGGATTTAATCCAAAAAGAATGAATTTTCGGGTTCAAAAAGAGGATTCTGGGCAGAGTGCATCGATGCAGATTCATAGTGCACCGATGCATCAAGGTTAAAACCCAGAAAGTGTTTGAAGGTGTATCGATGCACAGGTAGTGCATCGATGCACAGGTAGTGCATCGATGCACTCTTTTAATTTAAAAAACATCGAATGCAATTGGTGCATCGATGCATAAGGCATGCATCGATGCATCCCATTAATAAACAAACATCGAATGTATTTTATGCACCGATGCATAGGTAGTGCATCGATGCACCGATAGGGAATGCATCGATACACTATGCAGTTCAACGATGCATACCTTCATTAAAAGATGAAATGGGCTTTTCTTTTAGCCTAAGAAGTGACAATTTAGAAGATATCAATTAGTATACTGATATGTATCAATGTATTATTATGATGTAGATATAGAATAAAGCTTGTTCCGGAACAATCTAAAGATTAAGATTGATTCAAAGCAAACAAGGCTCAGGTGAGTGCACATTATTTAGTATATGAGGTTCAATGGAAAATAAGACTTGCGATAAGTCT